CACGTCAAATCAATGCATTATTTTTGCTTGCATCAATATGTGATGATCAATCGCAAATGTTTTGAAATACGCGAATCACATGGCCAAGAGCAACTATAACATCCATGCAGCCACGGTTTTCCACCTAATATAGGATACTGTGCGAGTAGACAAAATGTAAATCTTGATAACGGTTTATTCGAAACTTCGTGTTCAGTCCAATCAGCTGAAAATCAGCAGCACTCAAATCATTTTTACACTTCACTCTTGAGGATTTTTAAGTAATGAATATGATACTGCTTAAGTTAATCCTAACAGAAAGTTCTTTTCATTAAATGCCCACGATTGGAAATTGTATGATATTCCTACATTATGTATGAAACGCCGCTGTAACATCTATTGCGGAGCGGAGGATACTTCGAGAGAGGTTTACAAAACAACAACAACATAAAAGTATTAATACAAGTGGTTGTATCTTCAAAAAGAAAGTACAACTGATTAACTTGGAGAGAGAATATTGAGAACACGAAAAAATCAAATTGAATCAATTGAAATGAAGATAAGTTGAAACGAGAGTGATCGCATGCTAACTGACACTGTTTTGGTGCGATCCGTTCGTTTATACTAAATAACGAGAAGCAAAACGATGTGTAGACTAGAGTTTGATCAATGATGCATTGGCATTGGGAATGTGGTTCGATGGGTCGGTGTTCTTTATCAGATGATTTATTGAATGAGATCAGCAAAGGGATAGTTGGACAGATGGATGGATGCATCGACGAGTGCATCAACTCTCGAGATTACTTCAGTCCGAGAGAAGATCAAACAACGAATCAAAATTTTAAGAGAGTTGACACGTATACGTTTGAACAGCAGAAACAGTGAAAAAAGCACTTGTTGAATGATGAGTTGTTGAAAAATTAGTATCCAACACATTTGAATGCTTTTTTTGAAGGGTAGTTTTCGAATGCGTCGTACACAACAAACGCAATCACCGAATAAGAGAAAATCAATGAATAATTTCAATGAGAAGAAGAAGATGGCCGCGATCAAAAATCGTTGTTTATTTCAGTGATGAAATTGGCATAGTCTTCTAGCAACCCAAAATTCTGACACAAGACCGAATCGTCGAAACAATAGTTTTTGTATGGATGTTCACCGAAGTGCTTGCAGCACAACAATCACAGTATTAATGGTAGCAGTTTCATTCGACAAGCATTTAGTAATAAGAGTGAAATGGCGAAAAAGAATGTGAAAAAGGAACAGAAATAAGACAAGAGCACAAAAAAGACAAATGTGTTATCAGTTGAATAGAACTATTAATACAGTCAATGTTGCCAGAAGATTAGCGCCTGATAGACTGAAGTGAATGCTCTCCTTAACAGCGCTTCACTCCTCTCCATCACACCAATTGCAATTTACGAGAAATTCTAAAAACTCAAAAGGTATTCCGTTGTATTTTAGGTGGCTTCCACGGATCGTATTTAAGAAAAAGAAGATATTGCTCCATTAGGTGCATAATATATTGCTTTATTAGACGAAAAAAACCTTCTATAAGATATTCCTCCACTCATTTCCACTG